CTTTTATGATACTCCCCCCATTTTATTATATTTTTTTCAAAACATAGAAGAATGTATTAGAGTTGTCTGGAGGAACAGAATCAATAGGAAGTATGAATATAGAAAGGGAATTTATTAGGTTGGCTTACACAACCAGAAGCTGGATAGTCCACAATGGCCATCTGCAGGCTGGAGAGCTGGAGGAACCAGTAGCTGTGCGGGCCAAGTAACTGAAGTCTCAGAGCAAGAGGAATCAACAGTGCTACCCCAGTCAGAGACTGGAGGCTTCTGGAACCTCCCAGGAGAATCACTGGCAGAATCTGCTTTGGAAGAGTGAAGGAGGGAGACTCTGATGTCCTCAGGCCATCACAACAGCACTCAAGAGCCCGCTTAAGGAGAATCAAGCTTGCGTCTGCTAAACATCTCGAAATTCTTCCCACAATTCTAAAAAGCTCAAAAAGCTTTTGAACCATATGGTCAGGTTAGTCACAGCCACAACCCCACTTCTTGGTACCAATTTCTGTTTTAGTCAGCTTTTTTGCTGCTATGACTAAAGGATCTGACCAGAACAATTTTAGAGAAGAAAAGTTTATTTGAGGGGCTCATGGTTTCAGAGGTCTCAATCCATAGACAGCTGGCTTTATTCCTCAGGGTTAAAGTTGAGGCAGAACAACATGGCGGAAGAGTGTGGCACAGGGAAGCAGCTCACATGAGGATCAGAAGGCAGAGAGAGACTCCACTCTCCAGAAACAAAATATATACCCCGTAGCCACACCCCCAATGAACCACTTCCTCCAGCCACACCCCACCTGCCTCCAGCCACCACTCTGTTAATCCCATCAAGGATTCATTCACTGATTAGGTTAAGGCTAGAACCCAATCATTTCTTCTCTGAACTTTCTTGCATTGTCTCACACAGGGGCACCACATCTAATCCATAACAAGGAATTTAAAGAATCTCAGAGGAAATACCCACATATCTACCACTTAGATTTCACAATTACCCAGTTTGCTTTATTTGCACATCTCTCCACAAATGCGTCAATCCATCTGTCTTCATTCATTTTTTGAGGCATTTCAAAGTTGCAGATTCATGACGACTTAATGATGTCTTATCCCTTAACACTTTTTTTTAATTGATTTTATTTTTTTAAATGCATGACAGCAGAATGCATTACAATTCTTATAACACATATAGAGCACAATTTTTTCATATCTTTGTATATAAAGTATGTTCATACCAATTCATGCTTTATACATGTACTTTTTTTTGCATTACAATTCTTATTAACACTTTCTTTTTCCTTTTTAACATCAGATTTTTTTAAATAAAGCTTTGCCAACCTTGTTTAAAGTTGCCCTATTTCCTCTGCTTGCTCAAACTTGAATATTTGTACCTTTTAAAAATCACAGAATTCAGTATATTTGCCCCCTTGCATAGATCCTGGGTGCCCACGCTTTCTCCATTTCTTCATTTTTCTATTACTTCCTTTCTTATCTCTTCACTCACCACAACTTTTCATTTTGCCTTCCCTTCTCTCTTTCAGCTCCCCAGCAGATAATTTTAAAACTAAACAACAGCTGAACAATATCCCCACTGTTCCGCGTGCCTGGGTATGCGCAGCACGTCCGTGCTTGCCCAGAACAGAAGGAAAACACAATTTCTTCCATTTTATTTCTTTGCATCAAAAGTGATTAAATCTGTCTGCATGACCTTCATACATCAGACCACTTGGCTATCTTAAAAGTCTATTTAATAGAGTAAGTCAGGCTGCATTCCCTTTGTAGAAAAAAAAAATCTTTACCACTAAATAGGGCGGTAAAAGCCAAGGGAACAATGCATCTTTTGTGGGTCGAAAGAGAAACTGGCATCCTACAATTGCTGGATTGTTTAAATTATTATACGGCAATTCATGCTAGTTACATATTTGCATTGTTGTACAAGTATTTTTCTTATTTTGATTAAAGATGGCTTTTTGAAGGATCTGCTCTTGCAACACAGATTAAAAGACTCTATTGCAAGATATAGTACATTCCATTTTGTTACCCTGGACAGCAGTGTTTCAATTTTTTTTCCATAAAAGCCTATCAAGCACAGAGATAAAAGACTGTAAATAATCTCCAGCAACTTAGGCACCATTATGTTTTATTTACTAACAGCTATAATAGAACTTTCTATAAAAACCTTCAAGAGCATTTTTCTTTTTGAGTATCAGTTTCACAACCATCTTTCCAACCTTAGCCAGGACTATAAAGCTGAATTACCTATTTTTTGGAAGTGGGGGGAGAAAAGGAAAGGAAAATTTTCATAATAAAATTTCTGCTTTCTTAAATGAAGAGCAATTGTCCAGCATTGTACTAGCCGTTCCTACTTTTAGATGTCTGACTCCTTGCACGTGAGTTTTCTTGCTTTGATGAATGAAAGTTGAATAGTGAATTCATTCATTCTTTTACCTATCACTCATTGATCTTTTGCTCCTTACAAGGCACTTGATTGGGCAGTGGAAACAGAATAGAGAAAGAGAGGTATGCACTCTCTCTTCAGTTTGTAAGTCAGTCGGGGAGTCAGATGCCTGGTCCTGTAGTTATGTTACAGCATGAGGGGCTATGATGGGGATGGGCAGAGAGCCAGGGGAGAGTGCACCCCAAAAGGAAGAGGGCAAGAATGCTTCCTGGGGGGGTGCGTCTTAGACACATGGGAGTCAGCTGATTGGAGTAGACATGAGTTAAGACATTGGAGAAGACATCAATGATTGTTAAGCAATAAGCCACCTGGCACAAAAGGACATCATTAAAAGAGGAATTCTGTTGGCTCATGCACCGAAAGGTCCAGGGGATTTGGACCTCTGCAGAAGGACCTCTGCATCCAGGGCCTAGTATGCTGGCATCAGGAATCCACCACTGTGGTCTGCCCAGCAGCATCGCCTTTCTCCTTTGTTGGCAGAACCCCAAGTTGGTTCACTCTCATTGGAGCCACTTTGTCCTGCAAACGCGGCTGAGCCCCGCTGCAACTTCTGCCACATCCTATTTCCAGATAAGGTCATGTTCTGAGATCCTAGGGGTCAAGACTTAACATAGGAGGGGTTTTTGTTGTTGTTTTGTTTTGGGGGGGTGCATAATTTAACCTCATCTTTCTCTTCTCCTCCCTGATCTCCTGCTGATAGCTCCCATTTGCTGGGCCCAGGGGAGGTAACCTCATCCTCCTGACACAGTACAGGGCGGAGAAGGGTGAGGCAAAGAAAATTCCCAGAACACCTTGTATTGCCTTCATTCTTGGGAAGAATCCCTGTGCTTGGCAGCCAACACCTACCTCTAGACTTGATTCTTGGGCCCTGCTGTCTTAAAAGAAGGAGGAAAGACCTTCTATCTCCCAGTTTCCATCGCAGTTCTCTATAAGGAATTGATGGGCTCTGTTTGGGTCACCAGAAGAGACCTTAGATAGAAACAGAAGCAAGATGCTCGGGTGCTCCGCCCCATGGCCCTTCAGCAAGACTTCTTTGTTCTGGCTAGCTGGCTGTCATCATCAGAGGAGCACTTTCAGTTGCTTGAGTGAAAACTCAAGGACACAGGTAACAAACCAAATGAAGTTTACTTTTCCTTACGTATCAAGATGCCTGGAATGTGGCAGGCCCAGGCTGGACGCCAGCAAAGGTTCCAGCTTCTCCCTCTCCCTGCCCCACCATCCGTTGCATGTGACTTTTGGTCTCATGGCTAAAAGGTGCTACCTCACTCCCAGCTCTACATCTGAGTTCCCAACTGGAGAAAGGAGATGGACACGTCAAGGAATTCTGGGCAGCAAAAATCAGGAAAGCAGAATTTTCTCAGCTATCTCTAGGATGTGTCCATCAGCAGCCCTGAGACACGAAGCTGTCTCTTGCTACTTGGGAGCCTGAGAAATGTTGTTTTTGGCTGCATTGGTTGCCATTTGGTAGCAATCAGGTTTCTGTTAATAAGGACAAAGAGGAAAGTGGTATTAGGTGGACAGCTAGCGAGTTGGCTGTATTAGCTAATAGTACTCACGTGCTTGGCTTCCATGTTTGATTTGGTTGTTACTTATTTTTTTATTTTTTGACTTCCACCTTTGAAGGTGACACCTAGACCTGAAGTACTGCTGTTCTGAAGAGTTAAATGGACTGGTGTTGGGGGGTGTGCAATAATACAGTTAAAGTCATGTACATTTTAGTAAATAGCCCAATGGCCAACCACATTTACGATGCTGGTCCCATAAGATTATATCACCTACTGTCATAGTAGCTGCCTTAGTGTGTGAAAGCACACTCTGAGGTTTGCCCAACAATGAAATCACTTAATGCATTTCTCAGAACTTAACCTGTTTATGTTATTGTTAAGTTGTGCATGAATAAATTTAAAAGAGAAAATCAAGGCCTAGATTTATTTTTATTTTCATTTTTGGCAATGGAGATTGAACCCAGGGGCTCTAGCCTTTTTATTTTTTATTTGGAGAAAGGGTCTTGTAAATTGCTTAGGGCCTCACTAAGTTGGTGAGGCTGGCTTTGAACTTGCAGTCCTCCTGCCTCAGCCTCCTGAGACACTGGGATCATGCCCTCGATTTTAAAAATTAAATCTTTCCAAGCCCCTACTGTGTGTTTTGTCTTTTATTAGTCTCTAGTGTCAGAAAATATGCTTATCCAAAGAAATTGGGGCTGGGGATGTGGCTCAAGTGGTAGTGCGCTCGCTTGGCATGCGTGTGGCCCGGGTTCGATCCTCAGCACCACATACAAACAAAGATGTTGTGTCCGCCAAGAACTAAAAAAAATAAATAAATATTAAAAATTATCTCTCTCTCAAAGAAATTATCCAAAGCATATTTTATCCAAAATGTCTTCAGAATTCTTGATGTTGCCTGAGTTACTGTTTATTGGCATGCTTATAAATTTCATAATGGACTCATGCATATTTCATCTATGCTTAATCAATTAACCTCTCTTCCTTTGTCCTACTCAGACATGTGGGCAAAGTAAGAATGTAATTTAATTATCTCTTCTCCCTTTTCTCTTTAGAGGAAAAGAACCAAATTCATTGCCTGTGATTTCCTTACTGAGTGGTTGTACAAGTAAGTTGTTCATGTCTTCAAAAGTTCAGTGACCCTGAAGTTTTAATCATGTGAATTTGCAAGCAGAATAGCAACCATTGACTTGAATTCTTGCTTTTTGTTTTCTTGTCCATCAAACATATGGCACTGTCTCCAGCCAAAATCCAAAGAGGACAGGGGCACCGTTCACAGAATTTTTCTCTATTCCATTTGTGGATGAATGGCTAAAAGATCAGTAAGTTCAAATAATTTACTCATAATTCTAAGTTTATATCAATGAGAACTAAAGCATGTGATTCACCCAGACCCTCCGATTCTATTCACGTCTCTTGATTATTTTTAGTCCTGGCTAAGTTCATCCTGTCCATGCAGTGATTTCATTCCAGAAATGCTTCAGAAATAAAGTAGAAAACAAACTCTTACCCTAAATAATTGATCTCCCACACCCTTTTTGAGATACGGTTTATCTTACAGTGTGGCCCAGGCTGGTCTAAAACTTGTGGGCTCAACAATCCTTCTGCCTCAGCCTCCCTTCCGCTCTCTTTGAAGGTCATTATGTCTCAGGAAATAAGAGTAACCTTTTCTATTAATTTTTAGCTATATTCATCAATTTCTCATTTATAATATGAGAATGTGACAGATAAAGTTAAAATACTTTTTGACCGTTCTAAACTAGATCTTCTTCCCTCTCTGAGCTAATCAGTTAAGTCTATAGCACATCCTTCCAGAGCTTTTAACATTAGTTATTTCACTAGATAAAATCAGCTTATATTATATAAAATTAGTATAGTTTGTTGTGAGCTGTTTTTCTCAGTGATATAAAAATGATAATGCTGATACCAACTATCATTAGTTGAGAGCCTGTATCACTGTTCTCAGCACTTAATACCAATGAACCAATTTGATATCCCCATAATGGTGCATTACCAACTCAATTTTGCAGATGAGGAAATTTATGCATTATTATATAACTTGCTTTTATTTGACCCCAAAATATACTTTTGAAATATAAATGATTCAATTGCATTTAATCCATGTCTTTGATGGCTTTACATAGTATATTTCATTTCTAGATTTGCATAATTTATTCACTCATATGAGAAATATGTATTGAGTTCTACCATGTGCTAAAGAGCATTCTAGGTAGTGGAGACAGAACAGTGAACAAGTAGGCCAAAATCCCAGTCTTCACGGAATTTATGTTCTAGCAAGAAAAATAATAAGCAAATGCTTCAGTACTGTGAGGGATGAAGCAGAGGGAATATGGAGTCCAAGGAGGTTCAGTTTACATTGGGTGGTCGGGAAGGATTTCACCTGAGATGACATTCAAGCTGTGTTTTACTATTTAAAGTATTAGATGCAAGAAAAGACACCTCAATTTAGAAAACAAAATAGATTTCATCTGTTGCTTTAAAATGTTTCCATGTCGACCCTTTGCAAGAACAATGTCAGGAAATTGAGGCACAAGTAAATCAAGTGAGGCTTGCCAAGTCACATTTTTTAAAAATATATTTATTTATTTACTTATTTTTAGTTTTTTAGATGGATACAATATATTTTATTTTTATGTGGTGCTGAGGATCGAACCCAGTGCCTCACACGTGCTAGGTGAACACTCTACCACTTGAGCCACAACCCCAGCCCCCCCCCACAAGTCACATTTTAAACAGAGTGGGACACTTTAAATGAGACTCTTAGCACTAAGTGTCACATCTTCTGCCTAAATCTGCCCTCCTTAAGAATTTCAAGTTGAATAAACTCTTGACTGACGTTCTCAATATTGAGATCTTTTTTAAAGACCCCAGATATTACCAGGTTTTTTTTTTTTAACTTGAGACTACACATTGAAAGGAGAGCAATATTGGAAAACTGTGTTTCTTATTCATCTTCTACATCTGTGCCTAATTTTATCCCATGAAGTGGAAGGCTCACAATTCATTGCTTTGCATCTATTTTTCTAAGACAAAGTATTTTCAGTACCATTCTCCAAATTGCTTCTTTTTTTAAAAAAATGAACCATTTTTCCTTCCCATTGGTAATAACCAATGAAAAAGAATCTTAAAAATAAAACTGAAATGAGTGACCCCTTGATCCCTCATCATTTGCTGCACAAGGATCTCTATTTAAACGGCGGCTGAGGTCCACCAGCAGCTCCTGTAAACACACTGAAGTGGCAGCATCAGCCACGTCAGCTGGACTCTGCAGAACAGAAACACACGAGCTCTGGCTTTGACTGGCCTTTATATTCTGTGTTTTCATTGTCTTTCAAAGAGAGGCCCAGAAGCATGATAAAAATTAAAATGAATCTAATTCATTTCATGGAATGAGTATCTGCTGAACACCTACCCACCACTGCACACAGAGCTTGGTGCTGTGGGAAAAAAAACAGAGATGAATAAATTATGGCTCCAGTCCTCGGGGTGAGAGAGCTGCGTTGACAACTAGTTGTAGTTTCTGTAGTGAGTGTTGTCGTTCAGATGCTAACAAAGTACTAAGGGGAAATGGGAAGCACAAGATCTTACAAGTCCTAGTCAGCGGGCCTGGAGCCAAGCCCAGCTAGGACAGGGCCAAATGGGTTGGTGCCCAGATTTGGTTTTTCGAGGTAAGAATTCAGGTGTTATATTCTTCTCAAGGGTTCTGCTGAGCAGGAGAGGTCAGAGAAGTAGGAACTAAAGGGTGGAGCCAGGTTTTCCCAGCCTTGGACTCTGGACGTGGAGGTCTGGATGATTCTTTGTTGTGGGCAACTGGCCTGTACATTGTAGGAGGGTTAGCAGCAGCACTGACCTCTACCCATTAGACACCAGTACCAACCTGTACAATTGGGACAACCAAGAATGTCTACAGACACCGGCCCACACCCCAGGGTTGGGGGTAAAGAAAACTGCCCCTGGTTGAGATCCTCTGATCTAATCCAGTAGTTTTCTACCTTGGCCTATACTTTAAAATCATCTGGGGAACTTTGGAAAAATATTGGTATCTGGCTTCATGCAAGATCTGTAAGATCAGAATCTGCAGGTATAGTCTGGGTGGCCTTTGTTCTGTTTTTAAAAGCTTCCTAGGTGATTTTAAAGTACAGTCATGACTGAATTCTCATCCACAGGTGTGCGTGTCTAGGAGATAATTTATAGTATATTGAGCTGTTTCTCTGTTAACTGCTTCTGTGAAATTTATTTGTTTTATTTTTGGTGCTGGGGATCGAACACCAGGGCCTTGTGCATTTGAGGCAAGCAGTCTACCAACTGAGCTATACCCCCAGCCCTGCTCTTACAAATATTACTTAATCTTCACAGAAGCACTTGGATGTAGATACTGAAGCTGAGGGCCTAGAGATGGGAGATTGCCAGTGAGATGAGCTGGTCTTGGGCAACGGTTGTTACAGGGGGCAGGAGCAGATGGATGGGCATTTGGAACAGGACTTCATAACACACCTTGGAAAAAGATGAATTTCGTGAGAGGAAGACTGTCAAGGGTTTTTAAAGGATGCAAATTATAAAGCAGCACTTCAGGTATCATTGGTTTGGGTTAAGAACCTGAGTTTTGGGGAGAACCAGTTCTGAAGTCTCTACCCCACCATATACTGATCATATGATAGGGGGAAATGTTTTCTATGTTTATTATTGTGTAACAAATTGCCCCAAAACTTAGTGATGTCAACATTAAATATCTGCTGTTACAGTTTCTGAGTCAGGAATTTGTTCACAGCTGGGCTGGGTGGTTCAGAGTCTCCCATGGGGTTGCAGGCTGCAGTCATCGGGAGGTTGGACTAGGGGTCCTGCTCTCAAGATGGCTCATGCACACGGGACCTCAGTTTTTCCCCACATGGGCCTTTCCTTAGGCTGTTTGAGTATCCTCGGTGCTTGGCAACTGGCCTCCTTTGGAATTGAAGACTCGAGTATGGGGAGGAAGGCATAGTGCTTTTATGACCTTGTCTTAGAAGTCAAACCTCCATTTCCATCACATTCTTTAGAAGTAAGTCAGTTGGTCAAAGGGAGAATGATTAGGCTCCACCTGATGAATGGAGGAGTTAAAGAATGCATGGGTATACTTAATGTCCACTGCAGAAGGCCCCTCTCTACGCTTCCATTTCTCCATGGTAAATGTGATGGTGAAGATGCCGTGGACGTTACAATACAAATGGGGTCATAAACCAGGTGCAGTGGTGCAAGCCTGTAATCCCAGCAGATTGGTAGACTGAGGCAGGATCGTGAGTTCAAAGCCAGCCTCAGCAAAAGCGAGGCGCTGAGCAACTCAGTGAGATCCTGTCTCTAAATAAAATACAGAATAGGGCTGGGGATGTGGCTCATGGTCGAGGGCCCCTGAGTTCAATCCCTGGCACCCCCTGGCAAAAAAAGGGGGTCACAAGCAGCTCCAGTCTGCAGCAATGCTTGGTTTACTACAGATGCTCCTCGATTCATGATGAGGCTGGCTCCAGAAGTCCCGTTGCATCTTGAAAATATCATAAGTAAAATGTGCACTTAAAACAGCCCTCGAGGCTTAGCAATAGAACCTGGAAAGGGCCGTGTGTTTCTCTTTGTGATCTGGTGGCCGACTAGGAGCTGTGGCCCACTGTCACTCCCTGGCACAGTGAGGATATCGTCATGCTGCTTGTTGCTAGCCTTTAGAGTCAGAAGATCAGGATTCTAAATCTGAAGGATGGTTGCTACGGAACGTGTAATGCTTTCCCACCATCACCGAAGCCAAGATCCTGGCTGGAAAAGCAGTTTCAGGGGTAAAGATGATGGTTCCTGTCTGGACACAGGTGCCTGTAGAATGTCGTTCTGGAACATTGGTCTGATCATCCAGAGAAACGCTGATTTGGTCATGAAAATCCCTGTGACAAATGTATGGATTAATCTGAGATGGACAAGGACTGAACTTCAGAGTACCCCAGAGAAGGTTCCAGAAGTTCATGACTGAGTCACATGGTGGGTTGGCTGTGGTGACCATGGCTTGGTGTTGTGTTTTTTACAAAAGCCACTGTTTCAATGACAGAGTCTGTGTTGATTTGAGGTGACTGGAGGGAGGCAGAGGGCTAGATTCACATTTATTTTTTTTCTTTTTAATCATTGCATTAGTTTTCTATTGCTGCTCTAACAAACCACCACAAACTTGGTAGCTTTAAAGCAACCCAAATTTATTATCATCCAGTTCTGGAGGTTATATCCCAACACGGGTCCAAACCAGCTAAGATCAAAATGCGTTCTTTTGCGGAGCTCAGGGGAGAATCTGCTCTCT